TACTTGATGCAAGGCGTAATCATAAGTGGAATTGCAGATGACTTTGGTCATAATGAAATGAAGTGCTTAAAAGATATTTATTAGGAGATAACTTGGCAGTGAGAACTCTTGTATTAAAAAAAATAGGGAAGATGAACTTTTTGTATCTGTATAGCTATCTTAGAGGCAGCTAGTTGTAAAATGAGGGCTATAAAGTTTTTGTTTGGTGCTATCTGTATGTTGCTGAAAAGCCAAATGGTTTCTAAAATGTACAGTCAAAACCGATTATGAAATTCCCAAGGGGAACTCTGATGGGGCTATCATAACTTAACAATGGAGTGGTGAGTCACTGCAGGAATTCATCTAATAAACTTTTCTTGTATTTATATGGCCATGAGAGTAAAACTGTATTTGATTAAAAACTACTAGATGAGAGGGGGAGAGAAGATGAAAAACGAAGCATCTTCTGTTTCAGGCATAAAAAATGAATGAAGTATATATATTATACTGCTTTATATATAGATGACATGAAAATATAGTACAGGCAGTGACTTCAAATCTGATCAGTCTCCAAAGTAGTTGTGTTAGCAGTATAAGCAATTCAATTGGCAATCTTAACGTGATCTTTTTTTTAGGTTCCAGATGCAAAATGTTGCTAGATTGAGGCATCTATATTAGGTTCTAGCTTTCCAGTGTAAATGTATATACCTCCACTTTTCCAAGACTACCCATAGAAGGTCTTGAAGGCCTTTTTTTTTTTTTTAACCTAACATTATGTTAGGAAGTACTTAATTTAGCCTTAAGAAGATCAGCTAGGATGCCAAGAATGCTTGCTCCTACTCCATTAACGCATGAGGCACACAGTCTTCAAAAATTCCTTTGGAAGGTGGGAGAGAAAAGCTGTGTTAAAGGCAGCATCTGAATATTGCTTAGGTAATTAAAATGTCTGGATATATACTTGCAAAAAAAAAACCACCCTGCCTCTGACTTCATAAGTTCTGATATTCAAACTTTATAAAACAGTGGACATAGTGAGACTTACTAGTGAGAGAGAAGATGCAAGAGGTCAAATCAGTGCAATATGTCCTAGAGTACACCAAAGAATAACTCGGTGTTTGGAAAAAGGGCAAGCAATAACCAAGTGAAGTCAGTGAAAAACATGTTCTAGAACTTCACATCACTTGTAACTTTGTTCCAGACTTCTTACAGAACACATGAATAACTACTTATTTCTAGCTCTTCCTATGCCTTCCTTGACTCTGGGTGACATTGGAAGTTTGCTTCAGGAAAGGCAATGCTTAAGTTTTAAAAAAAACTCAAGTGGTACATTTCTAGCTCATGATATCAAATAAGAGCATTTAGTAGCTTTGTTTTTTTAAACAACAAAAAAACCCAACCACCAAAAAACAACCCAGATGATGTTACTCACTGATTTTTTTTAAGAAGAATTTGATATAAATTAGGTTGTTTTTAATGCCCTCCAAAATGACACTGTAGGCTGTTGTGTCCATCTATTTTAGGTTGTATAATCTTATGCAAGACATTTGCAAGCAATAGACAAGGTGATTGTAATGTTATAGTGGTACAGTGCAAAAAATCCCCATCAAATGGATCCTTTGAGAAAGAGATGTTCCCTGAAGCTTGATTGATAGTGACTAAGAAATATTTTTAGTAGCTTGGAGTTGATGTATGTAAATATTTTCAAAAGCTAGATAAGTTCTTCTATCTAGATATGATTTAAAAATAAACCCTTTTTTTTTCTTTTTCAGTTTTGTGAATGCTTAAATAGATTATGGAATCATTTTTATCGTAGGGATATTACATCCTCACTCCCTGATGTTTTGCTCAAAGATGTGATGCTATTGCTCTTGCTTCACCAAGACAGGCATGTTGAATGCTGCTGCCATTTTTTAGTGTGCAAAAATTTTGGAAACTGAGGATACAATGGCAGTTGTAATCCTTATTCACGAGTTAGGAGGTAGAATCAGGTTAAGACTAAATCGTGCTGAACTGGATCTTACTCCATGAGATTTCTTTTAACAACTTCTTTGGGTGCTTCTGGAAAGGAAAAGGACTTGTTAGAGCTCAGAGTTTTTGAGTGAATCTCAAGTACCTCAACCACTAGACTGTAAAGTGTGTGCAGTAAGAGCTTGAAGGGCTATTCACTTCTAGTCATTAGCTCCTTTAATTTTGAGAAATCAAATCAAATGCTGGGGCTTTTCTTAAATGATTGACTCTTAAGAAGGCAAATCTTTGCTCTCCTAACTTTGTGTTAATTGTCCCAAAGAAAGCATGCAGTACCATACAGTATCAATGGGAAAATTAAAAAAAAAATAATAAAAATCAGGTGGTTTAGATAATAAATGTCTGAGTTTTTGTGATCTGATTTTTTTTTTTCCAAGTCCAGCTGACTAGAATTATGATGTGGTAGTATTTTAGCAGTCTCTAAAGTTTTTTTTTGGATAGCTTTTTATCACAACTGTGATGCAATTTAATAGCAGTTATTAGTTTCATAAATAGTTTTATTATTATGAAATTTCTATAAAGATCAAGGGATTTCCTTAAAGCTTTTTATTCCAGAAGCCGTTTTTAGGAAACATAAATACAAGTTTGTTCCTCTTTTTCATTCTGGTCTTAACTGCCTTTGAATTTCCCATTTTATTCCTAGGTTGAATCTCTTTTTTTAAGAGGTTACGATGTTTCCCTTGAAAGATACTTTGGAATAATGGTAATTTGGGTAATGGAATTTGGGTAATTTTTTGAAAACATTGTTCAGATGAATTCTGTGTAGCTTGATTTTCTTCCTAAGCGGTTTTTAAAATCTGTTTCATATAAAAAAAATAATTTGAGGTGAAAAAAGTCTGTAATTCATATTGGAGGATATGGAAGAATCTGTTCTTCTGGTTTGGTTTAGCTTGCGTGGAGTCTAATTTCTGCCCCAACTCAGCAGCAGAGGGCAGTTAAGTCAATTGAGAGGAGAGAGTTGTGGGAATTCAGAGATGCAGAAACCAGGAAAAATGCTTTCAAGTCTCACGTTTACTTGGGTTAAAATACACTGGTATTAAACAGTTACCTTTTCTTCCCTAAACTCTAGTGTGTTTTTCCTAGACTGTAGAATTATTAAATTTATTCAAAATGAAAGTGTAGTCATGCAGCCTCTGAAAGTGAAGAGGTAGCTATTTCTGTCGACAAAGTAGCTCTTGACTTCTGAGCAGTTAAGTACCACTGTTGTCAGCCAGGAGGAGTAAGGCCTGCAGGGCAGCTGCTAAAAACAGAATCGCTGTTTTATATATACAAAAGACAAAACACCATTACATTTTAGCTCGCTTGCTTGTATTTCCCACTTTAGCAGGATTCATTGGCCCTGTCTGTCTTCCTCCAAGGTGGCTGACCATGTCCTAGAAGAGCAGCAGGAGCAAAGCCACCTGATCAGCCTGGTGGTCAAATGGACTTTGTCTGCAGAAACCTCTGGAGTGGAGTCTCCAGAAGATACAGAGCAGTCTCTCTTCTTTGCAGGCAGCCGATTTTCCCCAAGTGTCCTCTTGGGTGAATGTGGCTGAGTTAGTCAGTCCTTTGAAGTTAGCTTATTTCTCCGTGAGGTTTGGCAGTATGAGATAGAAAGTCTTTCGTTGCTGGCTTTTTTTTTTGGTGAAGTTTTGATCATGGGAATGTGAAATGTGCGTTCCTATCTGGGACTTTGGGGTTATGAGAGTCTTGTTCCAGGAACTGCATTGTTCAGTCTTCCTTAACTTGTACTGAATTCATACATGTGTCTAGTTTAGTCTGAGAGAATTCAGAGTTCCTTGATTGTGTCTTCAACTTCAGTAACAGAAGATTGTCTGGTATTATTGAAAATTTTCATTTGTATTCTGAAAACAAAATGAATATGATATGTATGGGGTAGTAGATATTCCTCAGAAGTACAGAAATTGATGTTGTTTATCAAATGGTACAACTTTAAGCCCTCAGAGTAAGTCATCTGACAACTGAAAAATGCTTGCAGTTAAGGTAGGTATCCCATACTATTCTGTATTTAGCTATTAGATGTTGTCTTGGTAACCTGACAACATACCCTAGTACTCACACACTGAGCTTGAAATCAATACTACTGTCTTCAAAACTTACATTTTTTGCAATCGTTAAGTTAATCCCAGTTATAATATATGTGTTCCCACACTGCCATCACACTTTGATCTGTGGTGTAAAACTACGATATTGTCACTTTTAATATTTATACATAAATCCATCAGCCTGCCTTTTAGATGGTCTTACAAAGCAGATGGTACTGACAACTTCATATAGCCCTATGTCTTAAATATCTTCGTATGGCTCAATACAAGTTCAGTCAAGCAGTGGAACAAGTAGCTTTCCTCTAATGCAGAATGAATCTATGACTGACTGGACTAAATGATTGTTCTTTTATGGATAGGGGATCCAAAGCCATCCAAACGTTTATTCTGAAGTGATTTGATATTTTGTGCAGAATTGCAAAGATCATAGGATCACCAAGGTTGGAAAATATATCCATGATTATCCAGTCAAACTGTCCACCTACCACCAATGCTTCCCCCTAAACCCATGCCCCTTAGTACAACATGTAAACATTTCTTGAATGCCTCCAGAGGCAGTGACTCAGTCACCTCCCTGGCAGCCCTTTCCAGGGCTCCATTTTAGACTTAGTTCTCTTTAATGTTTTCATCAGTGACTTGGATGCAGGACAGGGAGCACAGGGCAGCACTGAGCTCTGCTCTCCAGTGGCAATAGCAGGACCTGAAGGAACGGCATGGAGCTGTCAGGGGATGGTCCAGTGGGGATTAGGGAAAGGGCAGTAGTATGGCACCAAGCTGCCACAGTTCAAGTGTTTAGACATCACTCTCAGATATAGGGTTTGTGCTTGGGTAGTTCTGTCTGGAGCAAAGGATTGGACCCAATAGTCCTCGCAGGTCCCTTTCAGCTCAGGATATTCTTTTCATCTGTTATGGTTCTGTTATGAGGTAATGGTGTTCTCTTCTGTATTTCAGCGTTTCCTTGATATGACATTTGGAGCTGGAGGTCATAGTACAGCTCTTCTAGAGAAAGCCAGCGACATTACGATATATGCATTGGACAGAGACCCCACGGCTTATAAAATAGCTCAGCAGCTTTCAGAATCTTACCCGTAAGTTGTCTTTTCCTGACTTAAATATGGTTGACGCTGTGTTACTACCTACACAGTTTTAAGTTTTCATAATTTTTATATATACTTTGCAATGCCTTGATGTAGGCATTACATTGTATACTGTATATACCTAATAAGTGATCCAGTTCAATTCATTTGTGAATGTTTGCACGCAAATCTTTTTAAGGTTTTTGTAGTAAAATGCATATTTTGTAGTCTGATAATTTTAAGTATGTTTCTAGTAGCTAATTTTAAATACAAAGTTTATTTCAAAAGAATTTGTGCTCTGCTTCTTTTGACATTATCCTCATAGCAAAATCTTGCTAAAATAGATACTTACCAGTAAATGTCTCACAAAAAATATGGAATAATATACCTTGAAATAATGTAATTTAAGTTTGGATCAGTGAATATTTATCATTAGGAAAAATTTTAATTTGGTATTATGTCTGTCTTATTGACTTCAGATACTACTGATCTATTTAATAAGCTACTGTTTCTTTGTAAAGATTATTTACCTCATGCTTCAATTTTCTTGCTAAGTAGTGCTGAATTTCTGAAATGAACAGAGGCTAAATGCTAACTTTAAGGGCTCTTTTGTTATACGAATCTTGTTTCATAACAACACAGAGCATGAATATGTTCGTGTACAGGTATGCAACATGCAGAGATGAATGTACTTTTCACCAATAGCTAGGTATTGTTTACATTTCACAAAGAAATGAAGATATGTAGATAGAAAATTAAATAATATAGAAGAACTAAAACTTAAGGGGAAGTAATAAGGAGAGGATGCTTACCGTTGTGTTGAAAACTTGCTAGCATTTATTTCAAAAGAATTTTCCTTATATAGAAGAAAATCTTTCTAATATGTAGAGAAATTAAAGCAGTGGATAAAGAAACACTTGGCTGTTAATCATACTCTAGCACAGACAGCAATGCTATTCAAGCAGTGCAGCAGGTATTCCTCACCTTTTCCAAAAGAAGCTGGTTTAACTGCATTCCTTTCTTCATGTGTCATTGTTAGGGGTCCAAGAGGAGAAATTCAAGGATTTAAGCTAATCTTACATCTAAAAGTTTTCAGAAACATCTACACAATCGTATAATATTAAACAGTCCTCTTGACTTAATGTATTCTTAGAAGTCAAGTGTCCTGTGCAAACCTGGTGAGAAGGAAATGTATTTTCCAGATAGATCAGGATATTTTACAAGTGCTGGATATTATTCTGTCAATGACTGACATTCTTCATTTTCTATTTGCAAGATTCACTCTATTCCATATATTATTGCAGTTGACATAACTTACTGTGGCAATATAATTAAGTAGTTCTTTGAGTTCCTACTTTTATTTGTAAACTTGTATAAACCTGGTCACTTGGACTCCAGATATAATGTTATCCACCTTCAGATATGCAAGTTTTCCTTAGAAGGAAGTGGACTCTTAGGTGAATATTAAACCGTTGTTGAAGTTCTAATGACTGCAAGATGACTCCGTGCCACTTGAATGTGTGCTATTAGATAGGGCGATGTTCTTACGTGTTTTTCATTAGCTTTCATTTTTCCCACTGGAAAGAAAAGGTGGGTCATTTCTCAAAATGTAAATACATATTTCTTATGATAGCTGACAAATAAGTTAGCCCTCTTAAAATAAAGAAGGTTCATATCTGGAATGTGTTCTTATTATTAATTTGCTTTCCCTGGGACATCAGTTGTGTATTGAGTTAAGTTAAAAGGGAACAGGAGTAATAAGTATATTATTAACAAATGAAAGCCTGTTAAGGTCTGCTTACAAATTGGTTGGAAGTATGTTACAAGATTTAGTGCTTTCATAAATAAATTTTCTTTTGTTATTCATTAAAAGAAGGTTGATTTTCTTTTAATTGTATATTTTCTGGATTATGTTAGATAAAAATTTTTCTGAGATGATTAATTGAAATCTTTGTTGGCACCAATGACCAGGGAATACATCCAGCTGAAATCTTTATCTGTTCAGGTTTACTGTCAATTAATATAGTTTGCTCATTTGATTCACCAGGCAGGCACAGAAATAGCTGTGCTATTAAAAAAAAAGTGGTAATAGGTGCATGCAGCTGCAAGCAGAGGGAAATATAGGGCTGCCCATTTTGTAAGGAGCACAGGCATGGATACAGCAGAAGACCTGCAACGCAGAAGTATAAACTTCTACGTTGTTTAATTTGGGGTTGTTTTTAGGCTCTGTTTAATGTTGCTGTTTTGGGAGAGGTTATTTGACTTAATAAAATCTTCACTTTCTTGGGAGATGACAGTGTAAGAGGAAAAAAAGGCTGTTATACAACTGTAACTTGTAAAATCATGTTTTCACTATGTCTGAAATTTTGTGCATTGGACAAATTGAAAGTCATACATCAACTGATTTTCTGCTGCCATTTTGTTTATACTTGAACCAGAATGTCATACTTGTTTCATCATTTAATTGAGGATGTTAATATATTCTAGCGTAACAACTGCACTGCTGGTCTTCAGTCTTGTGGCTTTTGCAATAATGCATTGTACCATTAAAAAAAAAAAAATATTCAGAGTTAACTGTTGTTACTAACTCTGTTTAGGCAACATCATGAATCTTGGTCGAATCTTTTTTTTTTTTAAATATGCTTTATCTTCTGTCATTTACTTGCAAGATCATTAAAATTCAAATTGCAGAAATATGCCCAGAGATATGGTTGGAAGACTTCACTATCCCTAAATTAGGGGATTTTTCTAATTCATAACTAATAAATGAAGTCCCTCTTGTACTTTGCTGAAAGGCAGTAGAAGTAGTAAGTCACAGAATCAGAAAACGGGAAAAATATATTTGATGTTTGTATTTTAAATGCATGTCTGCTTCTTGGTAGTGATTTTGTCATAATTAAAATCCAAAGAGGGTAGATTTCCCACTGCAATAGTTGCATTCATTTACCTTCTCTGTTTATTATTTTCATTTTTTTTTAAGCATGCAGTGCTGCTTTAATAAGGAGAAAATGGGTCAGGGCCTGTTAGAAATTCAGTGTGTGGGTGGGAATCCTTTGACGTTCTTTCTGGGGAAGCCTCTAAGTTGGGAATTGCTGCTGAGAATTCAGGAGAACAAGATAAAATTTAGTAGCAATATATTACAAGTAAACCCTTTCACACCTACTGAAGGGGAGAGGTTAGAGAGGTGAAAATCTAGCAATTAACCAATCTGAAATTTAGCAATTAACCAATATCATTGCAAACTTTTAAGTATGAGAAACCTACGCAGAAAAGACAACATATTCTTTGTAAGAAATCATGCTCCCAAAAGTAGAGACAGATCATATACAATTCCATATATAATTCAGCTATTATACATTTTCATGGAATCACAAGGTTTGAAAGAACCTACAAGATCATCTAGTCCAGCCATTCTCCCATCACCATTGTTACCACAAGCACTAAACCACATCTCGCAGCTCCTCATCCAGACCTCTTGAACACTGCCAGGGATGGCGACTCCACCACCTCCCTGTGCAGCCATTCCAGTCCCTGACCACTCTCTGAGAGAAGAAGTTTTCCCTCATGTCCAACCTAAACCTCCTCTGGTACAACTTGTGGCCATTTCCCCGGGTCCTGTTTGTTGCCTGGAAGAAGAGGCCAAACCTCTCCTCACCACAGCCTCCCTTCAGGAAGTTGTAGAGTGCAGTGAGGTCTCTCCTGAGCCTCCTCAGGAGTACAATTAACAGTTTGCTAACAAGGCATCTTTATTTTGCTCAGACATCATCATGGTATAACTATAGTAATTAATTATCTTTAGCTTTAATTCTTTCTAAAGAATTGTCCATGTATGTCAACATCTGACTGCCTCTCAAAAGCAATAGAGATAAATCATTTGTCTTAACTAAGTGATGGAAAATGCCACTGAGAGCTACAAACCCCTTTGTATTAGAATGGTACTTTTCTGCCATTTAGCTTATTCCCTGGAAGGTTTGTTTGGATAACAAAACCATATACATTTCCTTATAAAAGCATAATGAACAAAAATTCAGTCTCTTATTGCTGCAGCTGTCCGGGCTTCCGGATGATGGAGACTTTTATTTGCTTTCATGCCCATAAGTTGGTTTAAGTTTGGATCCACTTAAGTTACCTTCTAGCATAAATATTCTGCAGCAGTCTAATTTTAAAAGTAGTTTTCTTCCCTTTTTGCTCATTGTGTTTTCTTTAGGGCTTTCTTTAAAACCATGTCATTTTCGCTGTCAGTCATCTACTACGTAGCCCAATTATAGGCATTTTATTACCAATGTCACTTCACTGCAAGTAAATCTTCAGTGTGTGTGCTGCATAGTTTTTGTTTTCTTGCAGACATTATGATTTTTTTTTTAAATCACTGTATGGTTGGAAAAATCTTTACCAAGTACAGACAACAGTCTGATCATTCAGGTAGTTCAAGAATTGTTTTATTACATAAGTACTGCGGCAATAGATAAACTCCTTCTTCAAAGTGCTAGTAGAAAAATGTTATTGCAAATCTTGCATTCAGAACTGGCCGAGTGGTATTGTCTTGTGCCAGGATAAAAAAAAAACAAACAACTAAACTAATGTAAGAAGTCAAAATAGTGGAATCTCTCTTTTTAAGAGAAAAAAGTTTTCTCTTCCTGTAAATATTTCCTAAAATTGAGAGAAGGAGGAAAACAGATTCCATGATTGAAAGGGAAGTTTCTTGTGAAGAGAATTTTTTTTCCCCTCTTGGTGCTACAGATTTGTTAATGTGCCCATCCTCCATTCTGTTCTTTGTAAGCTTAATAAGGACAGTATTGCTTTGTTTTTGGGTACACAATACCCAATGGTGAATGATAATGAAAAAGAGAAGTGGGGAACTCTTTTCCTGGCAGCTTTGGTATACAGAAATTCATCTTGGGGAAATTTTTTATAACTTCATGAGAACCACAGTCTAGATTTTAAACATTCATTACTATTTATGTGTGTATTTTATGCTCAGCACCAAGTTCTTATATAACTGGCAGTGTTAA